GCAACTGCTAGGATGTATCTGGTCTAAAATTAATAACTTCTTGAAGCAGGGGGAAAGGAAAAGGCAAGAATGAGCTATTTGATAGATTGAAGACTGTCCGGTATTCATTCCATGAACCTGTTTTTGAGTTTACGAAGCCATATTACACAAAAAGGTATCTGAATTTGGAAAAATATGAGATGTGTTGGAGGAATGTATCTCACACTCATTGATTCATTCTCATGGTCCAAGGGAGAGGAAATCTCTCTTCAAGTCCACCAGTCGGAGGAAAAAGAGGAGAGCTGGACTTCAGTTGGACATAAGACAGGTCATAAGCAATCCTCATATTCGGATTTCTTAATTTTTGGAACAAGGCACTGGAAGCAGAGCTGGTGGACTTAAACTTTCATCCTGAATATTTCACCTGCTCTGTGGGGACCAGTGCCCTCCTCCTCCTCCGTTACTCTGGAGGAAGAGACCAAACTTTGCAGGAGCCACATCTCCCCACCCTTTTGTTTAAATTTGTCTCCCTTTTGTTTCCATTTTTGGAGAACCATGAAAGCAGCAGCCTCTATGGGCTACTGATACTGCACCATCTGCATTATCTCCACCTGGATTGAGGACCTTTGCCACCCTTTGAGGACCATCATCTTCCTTCTCCTGCACTCTCCAATCTATTCTTAAAAACCTCCAGTGATGGAGCATTCCACAACTTCTGGAGACAAGTCGTTCCACTGGTTAATCGTCCTCACTGTTAGGGAGTTTCTCCTTAGTTCTAGAATGCTTCTCTCCTTGATTAGTTTCCATCAAACTAGTTATGAGTTCTTAAGTAAAGAGCAGGAGAAAAAAAAATAAAACCATAAATATGATGAGGATCTAGTCTTTATGAATGAAGATTACTTGGATAGGATGATCTTTCCCTCTTGCCTTATATCAACCAAAATTGCACATTTGTCCCTTCTTGTCAAATTTCACTGATGCNTCAACAATGGAGCAAGGAAGGTTTTCTGGGATTAGTTCTAGACAGAATTGTCCCTCTTTCCAAATGGATTTCTCTTACCAACGGAGATGAGGAGGATGGAGACAAGAAATGCCTGGGACATGGTGGACAATTCAATGGGCCAATCTCTTCTCTCAAGCCAATGGATTTCCCCCTTGCCTCCTCTCCTCCTCTCTTAAACCCCCAAAGGACAAGAGGGGAGGCCTCATGCAAATATTTTCCTCTTCAACTACCAACCCAGCCCTCTGGGTATCAGAGTAGAGTGGGGATGAGCAACTGCTAAGATGTATCTGATTTAAAACTATTATTTCCCTGCACTGGGAGAAAAGGAAGAAACAAGAATTAGCAGTTTAGCAGACTGAAGTCTATCTGGGGCTCATTCCAAGAACCTGTTTTTAGCTGCTTGAGTCTACAAAGCCATATTACAGAAAAAATGTATTGTGGGTGGGTTGCTGGAATGCATCTCATCTTCATTGATTAAATCACATGGTTCAAGGAGAGGAAAATGTCCCTTCGAGACCAGCAATCTAAGGCAAAAGAGGAGGTATTGATGGTCTGTCCTCTGAGATTGCTGTTGATGTCTGGACATTTCGTCATCAGGCTAGGTGACACCTTCTGCGGGACTTTGGTTGAAGGCCTTGTTACAGTTCTTCACATCACTTCTACTGATGTGGTCCATGGGTTGTGTGACTGGCTGATCATTGGATGTGATCTCTTGTGCTGTATGACCTGTCGTGTGATTGGTTTATCATTGTGTCAGAGGGTCACCAACCAAAGAGGTCGTTAGTGCCATCACTGGTTGGTCACTTCGCAGTTTCAGATTAACAGAGTTGGAAGGGGCCTTGTGGGTCATCTAGTCCAACCCCCAGCCCACTTGATTGATATGGCCCCCTATGGGTTTATAGCCTGGTTCCAAATTGATGTATTTGTTGGTAGATCCATTGGTCGGATAAGTACCTTGATTAATTTACATTTGTGGCGTCTGATTGCACATGAATTCATCACATGGTGGCACATGTGTCCATCATTTCTAATAAGACGAGAGTCTTACTTCATTTGGGCATGTTGACTAGGGGAGGTCATCAGTAATCCATATATTCATTATATGGATTCTCATTTCTTAACCCTTGGAAGCAGAACAGATGGACCTAACCATTTCCTTTCATCCGGCACTGCTCACTTATTCTGTGAATGATCAGCCTCCTCCTCCCTCCCTTACCCTCAAGAAGGAGATGAGACATTTCAGGAGCCACATCTGGCTATGCTTTTGCTCAAACATGAAAGCGCACGAGCACCCCCTGCTGGACACTGATATTGCAACATCTGCATCTCCTCCCCTTGGCGGAAGAAAGGCATCATTTCTCTTCCTTTGAAGACCATCATCATCCTTCTCCTTATA